CTGCCGAAGAGACATGCAGCTCACTGCCTGGCAGCACAACATGGCTCTGAGTGGGACTCAATTAGTTCCTGACTGAAATGTCAGGTAAAACCTAGTTACTGCCCTGGCTATGCAGTGGGTGATTTTCTTCCCCCAAGCCAATAATGAGCTAACAGCTCAGTATAATTCAGTGCTCATCGCACTGCCAGAAGTGCCTCTTTGCACATGAAATATGAAGCCAAGATGTTTGTCACTCAGTGCACAATCTGAAGTCAATGGGAGCCTTTCTTGCCATTGACTTCACTGAGTTCAAAGTTATTAAAAGGTCTTACATTACTTTTTTCCCAGGGTGTTGAACCTCAGTGGTATGGCCAAATTCAAAATGGCACCTACTTGCTTCCTACTTAGATTCCCGTTGCTCGTTCAGCCGGACACAGCAGTCTTCCTTTCCTTTCTTAAACCACTGAAACGTTGCTATGCGCTAATAAAACACTGCTGCTTTCCACCTCAAGAGATGGCTGTATTTCAGCAGAGCAAAGGGTCTCTTATGTACATTAAATGCTTTGGGTTGAAAGGTACTATATACAAACGTAAGATATTCATTTAATAGGAATAAAGAGGATAGAAATCACTGTGGCCTTTGCCTAAAGGTTTGTTACTTTAACTGAAGGCTGTAGAAAGGTCAGACCACTCAATCCACTGTTTTAAATTCAAAGTCTAAATAGAAGAGGTTTGTAGTTTGTGCAAAAGATAAAAAAAACCAAAAAAAACCCAACCCTCTGATGGAGCACTCACTGAATAGAGTAACACACAGCGGGGCTGCACTGACCTGGGATGTGGATCTGAATAGAGAACAGAAATTATTTGATCTAATGAGGCCTGGCAATTTTACCAGTGCTCCTTCTGCACTAAAATAAGCAAGTTAGCACTAATTGGCAAGCACAAGCACCAAGAGGTCCCATGACTGAGAAAGTTGTAAACAAAAGTTAATCTATCAAATTTAGCAGAAGGCACATTATCAGTTCAGAAAAGCAGCCGAGTACATACAGGATGATTTGTACTGTTCTGTTTTCCTTAATAATTATTTCACTGCACCCAGAGACTTAAAATATTCAATCATTTCCTGCCACGCCTGATCAAGAACAGGCTGGCTGAATGTATGTATGTATGTGTATTTATGTATCACCGGGCCTGCGCATGACCACAAACTTTGACATTTAATGAGAATAAATCTGACGCCAACAGAACACGGCAAGCCCTAAACTTGGGGGACTGCAAAGGCAATGATGCTCTTAATGAGGAATCGGACAAAGCCCTGTGATTGATCTGCTTTCCAAACACCTATCTATCCTACCCACAGACAGACTGGGGTATCGTTTGGCTCAAAGCGTGTTGTTAGAATTGCAGAAAATGGATTTCAGAAGCATCTGAAAACTCATCTCATCCATTCCTTGCCTCATGGCCAAATCAACTAATCATAAAACATCCCTGACAGGTTTTTTTTTGTTTTTGTCTAACCTGCTCTTAAAACCTCCAGCCAAGGAGCTTCTACAACTTCTGTAGGTAATCTGTGCTAGGGCTGACCTCTCCTTACAGTTAGAAAGCTTTTCTTAATGTCTAACACAGGAGTGGTAAATCTGTGGCTAACAGGCTGAATCCTGCCTATGGAGCCCTGTCCTCTGCCCTGAGGGTGCCCCAGAGGGGCCAGGGATTCAGGGTAGGGAGACAGGAGTAGGACTCGCTGCCACAGTCTAGGTGCATTGCCCACTGGGGATGTGTGTTGCCAGTGGGGTGGAGGGGGGGAGCAGGGAGAGAGAAGGGGGAGCAATAGCTGCGTTAGCCCCCATGGCTGCTGCCATCCCTTGCCCTGATGCCACTGCATCCAGATCTGGGGGCCGGGCAGGTTTGACACCCTGGATCTAGCCTAAACTTCCCATTGCAATCAAAGTCCATTACTTTTTGTCCTGCCTTCCAATGGGACATGGAGAACGGTTGATAACTTTCCTCTCTGCACTCATCTTTTACATATTTGGAGACCATGACACCTCCTTTTCCCCCAGTCTTATTCTCTGGACTATGTTTCAAGAATAGGTAGGGACCTACCAAAATCAAGGAGGCAGGTGGCCAATTTTGTGGGCCGACTGTGGGGCCAGCCACCATTTTCACGGTCTTACTGCAGCACCCCTCCCTCCCACCATGCCTCTGATAGGCCAAGAGGGTTGTGGTCCTACCTCTTGCTGCTAACTGGCCAAGAGCTGTCTGTCATGCGGCCCCATCCCTCGCTGCTGACTGGCCAAGAGGGGCAGGGCCAGCGCTCTCAGCCAATTAGTGGCAAGGGGCAGGAGGAAATGGTGCCACCTTGGTGCAGGCAGCTCCTCTTCCCTTTGCCCAGAGGGCTTTGAGGCTGGGCTGTAGTGGCCACAAGGACCACTGGCTCCCACTGGGGATCCATCATTTTATTTTTAGTAAGGTGTTTTTTTTCCCTATTTCATGGATTTCATGGACAATGGCAATTTTGTGGTTTTTGCAAAATCGACAAAATCGCAAATTGAGTAGGCCCCTAAGAACAGGTTTAACAAGGAATTCAGATGTGCAGAATAACAAAGAATCAGGCCAACTCCATTCCAGTGGCCCATTAATACATGTAGAGACAGGCTATGACAACTTTGATAACCTGACTCTCAAAGATAATAACTTTGCTCCATGACCTTCACATCCCTACACAATCCTACTAGCTTAGTGGAATTACACATGAGGGAAGGTACTATTCAATGAGGAAGGGTTTCACAGTTTAGCTGTCACGGAGGAGACACATGCATGTGACCATAGGAGCTGGGGACTAATAAACTGCATAATGTCTTATGAAATTCAACATTTAAATGCTATTTAAGATTTAGTGCCACTCCTTCCTCCCCTTCTCCCAACATACAAAGTAAGAGAGGCAATTTAAAAATGCTCTTGGAGGGTTGGAGAAGTTAAAAATAATTTTTTAAAAAGTTCTCTCTCCTTCACAGAAAGTAGTTCATAATGGAAATATAAGGTAAAGCAAACTAACTGGACAATACTTTACTCACACTATTTAATGTATCGTTTAAAAGTTCCATTCTTACCCAATTGGGTTCTGTGAATCAGAAATTCCTGGCACAGAAGCAATTTTTAGTCAATGGGTGGTGGGAACCAGAGCTGCCTAAAGGATTAAGGCCTTTCCACTTTCTTTTACAGCCTTCCAGGAATTCCCTTGTGAATTCCACTCTTCACCATCTCTCTGCATCCCATATCCAGCACAGCTTTGTGGGAGCCCAGATTGCATTCATGTTTCAGTCTTGGACAGAAAAGCAAAATAAGGAGCTGCCTGATTAAACATTAAGGGTCTGGTAAAAAAAAAAAAAAAAGGGCCTTCAGTTTTGTGGGAACAAGTCTGATACTGTCCATAAGTTAGTAATTGCTTATCTAAATGTTCTCAATTAATTGCAAGATGGTCATCTGACAGCACAATATTTTACATGCAAGTTTGGAGGCTGAATCTGGCTCCTTTTTAAAAAAAGAAGAAAAGAAAAAAAAAAGACTATAAATATCAAACAGACATTACACAGATACATTCTTTTCCAGTACAAACAAAAAAAAAAGTTTAGAGTCTACATGGTGTCCAGACCTCTCCAGAATAATACTGAAAATGGAAAAGATGAATTTGCTGACTTAAACAACACAAACAGCACAATGAAAATCAGGAAGACAGATGAGGCACTCTTGGCTGGAAATTGACTGTATTCGAACAAACAAAACAAAACAATATACTCAAATCTAAGACAACTCTGAATTCAAGACAAAGACAACCACCCCCCCCATTAGATTCTATACATGGAAAATTTAGAATAATTTTCCACATATAGAATCTAATTATTGGAGGGTCATCTTAAATTCATCTCTCCCACTGCTGCAAACACTTTGCCCCCTGCTTGTGCCTGTCCCCATGTTACTTCTGCCCCCTGCCTGGTCCCCACAACCTCTGTTTCCCCTTCCCCTCAGCCTCTGCACTGCCCCCCACCACCTTAACCTTACTTAGCACCCGCAGGCTCCATCTAGCATGGCCCTAACCTAGCCCAGTCTGGCCCCCATAGCACCTGTGCAGGCTGCATGCTGCTGCCACAGGGCTGGGCTGGGGCTGTGCTCTGTGCCCCAGGCTGCAGAGTGCATGGAGCAAAAATAAGGGGAGGAGGGAGAGGGGCAGGCAGAGAAACAGAGGCAGCCTCCTGGGTGCCATGTAACCCGCCTGATTGGGTCTGCTCCCACCTGCAAGCTGATCTGCAGCCTGCTGAAGCCCTTAAAGTGGCAGGCACAACCTGTGCTCTGCCACAAAATACAGTAATATAAAATAGTAGGGAGAAATCAGCTTTGCCCCAAACCACTTTACTTACAGAGGGTCTAATGGAAAGATTCCCACTGTCATCAAAAGGAGTTGACTCGCTAATGTAAATGAGGTAATTTGGTGATGCAGTTGCTATACTCATGCACATGTGGATTCAAATACAAATTTATTACTGGAAAGTTCCCATCAGAATTTGGGCTTGGACTGTAAGGGACTAATTTCTCTTGTAGTACTCTACTGATATAACTGGAATAAAAATGGCAAATAGGCTGGAGTGATCCATTAGCAAACCAGGTCTTCTGTGTCTACTGCTATACTGTAATGGATAACATTTTTTTAATGCAGGCCAGAAGATGAAAACAAGGAAAATAAAATTCACTTCTTTTATCCATCTGCCTCCTTTGGGGTCTGTGGTAGCTCAGTAGCCTTTTAGATTAAGACCTGTTGACTTTTTCTCCCCTCCATACAGATGCACAAAATAAGTTAGAGATGGTCTTAAAACAGCTAAGCAGGTTTTAACTTTGACAAGATCAGGGTGTTCAGGTCTGAATGTTTGTTTTAAAGAGCAGCTCTAAAAGCACATCTATTCAGAAAAGTGCATAGAAATACAATGCAGGCACACAAAAACTGTATGGCAAGAGAAACATCTACTCACATGGGGCATAGAACATGACAAGGGCATGCTTCTTCTTTTTCAAAGATTCCCTGAAGTCTTCTCCCACAAGGTGGATAACACTTGTTTGCTTTTCTTCCCAAGCTGGTTCGGGTGGAGGTGGTGCTTGAGGACTGAAGGAAAAGAAGAGCAATGGATCATTCATTGCAAGCCCGTCATGCCCCTGCACCCCAAAGCCCCCCAGCAGCTGCAGAGCACCCCGCCAACCCCCAGCACAGCCGGAGGTAGGCAGGACCCATGGTGGGAGGGGACTAGTATAGCTCAGCTTTGAGAGGAGCCGAGGAGGGTCTCACCCTGCCCCAGCTCCTACTTGGCCCAACCCTCCAGGGAGCCACGTGACCAGAGCCTCATGAACAGGACATGCAAACAGGCACGCTTCTGGGCCTGGCATGTGAGTTAGCATGGGAATTGTGCAGGAGGGTGAGCGGGACGGCCCGGGGCTCTGCCAGTGAGCCCTAGGGAGGGTAGTCCCACCAGCAGCCAGACTACCAGCGGCACAATGAGGATGGGCACACGCCACACCCCAAGGATCCTCTTGGAGTCTGAGGCCTCCCCCCTCTGGCACCTCAGAGACCTCCACCCAGATGGAACCTGTGGTTCCAAGCTCCACGCATACGGAGCCCCTGGCTCTTGGCTGCGGGGGCTGCCTGGCACGTATCCAGGCACATGGGACCGGAAGCATGGCCACCTCCCCTTGCAGGGTCTGCTCCACTTCGCAGTCTCTGGGGCACGGTCCAGAGACTGTGCGCCATCAGGGATGGCGAGCAGGAGATCGACTCCTACTGCCAGGCCCTTCACCCCCCGGAGGCAGAGAGTAGACCAAGGTCACTTCCCAGGACAAGGGAGGACTCTGGGATCCCCTGTTCTGTCCAGCCAGGGGGTTGGACCAAGGTGGTGAAAGGCCCCAAGGCCCGCTGAACCAAGGTCCCCGCCCCACTGGGGCTTTGCAACAGGTATGAACCTCTTGCAGCCCCAGTAAAGCCTGCAGAGCTGCCAGCTCCTGCAGGCAGTGGACGCTCATCCACAACTACCGACCCTGCTCTCCCTAAAGCCACTCAGAGTGGTCGTTGTGGGAGACTCTCTCCTGAGGAGGACTGAGGGCATGATCTGCCGTCCCAACACCTTAGCTTGGAAGGTCTGCTGCTTCCCAGGAGCCCATACCTGGGACGTGGCTGAGAGGATCCCTAAACTAATCCAGCCCACCAACCACTACCCTATGCTCCTTATCTATGTGGGTACGAATGACACGGCTTGGAGCAAACCCAGCTGGGTCATGAGACACTACAGAGCTTTGGGAGCGAGGCTTAAGGGGCTGGGGGCACAGGTGGTATTTTCCTTGATCCTCCCAGTTTCAGGCTATGGGCTGAGGGGGGAGAGGAGGATCGAGGTAGTCAGCCAAGGGCTGCGGCATTGGTGTTATCGTGAAGGCTTTGGCTTCCACAATCAGAGCCCGCTCTTTGGTGAGAGAGGCAGTGGTCAGCTGGGGAGAGACAGCCTCCACCTCACTGCGCTGCAGAGGAGACTCTTCTCAGCCAGACTGGGTGACCTGCTCAGTTGGGCTTTAAACTAAGCCCGCTGGGGGGTGGGGGGGATTACCACCACTGCAAGCCCACTAGGCAACCTTTGCAAATCAGGCAGGCCAAGGCACTCAAGGGAACCCATCCGTACCTGCAGATCATTCCAGGGCTAGGGAAAGACAAGGGCCCCCAACGGGACACCAATGCCAGGAGCTTGGGGAAATAAACAGGAGCAACTGGTCCTCCTGCTAAACAAGAATGACTACAATGTCATAGGGATAACGGAGACCTGGTGGGACTCCACCTATGACTGGACCACAGGTATAGATGGCTATACCTTATACAGGTGAGATTGTGTAGACAAAAGGGGTGGGGGTATAGCTCTCTGTCAAGGACAGCTACATGTCCCTGCAAATTGACACTGGCATCCAGGGAAGACGACTGGAGTCCCTCCGGGTTAAAATACATGGGGAACGTGGCACAGGGGACACCATAGTAGGAGCCTACAACAGACCTCCTAACCAGAAACAAGAGCTGGACCAGGAATTCACCAGGGTACTGGTGGAGGCTGCACGCTCTCGGTGTATGGTTGTCATGGGAGACTTTAACTACCCGAACATCTCATGGGAAGAGCACTCGACCAAATCCAATTGGTTGTAAAGCTTCCTCATGTATGTGGATGAGCTCTACCTGACTCAACAAGTCTATGGGTCAACAAGATGTAAAGCATTGCTGGACCTGGTACTGGCCAAAGGGGATGATCTAATCAGTGACCTAAGAACTGATGGAAAGCCGGGTGATCGTGACCACGAGCTGATCACCTTTACTATCCATCGCAGAGCTGGCAAGTCAGTCAGCAATGGAAAGCTGACTTTGACAAGCTCAGGAGGCTCGTTGTTGAGGCCCTAAGGGACCATGACTTGACAGGAAGAGGAGTGGTTGCTCCTCAAGGGACCAATCCTGACAGCACAAGGGATGGCCATCCCATCTCGGAGGAAGGGTAGCAAAAGGGCACAACAACCCTCTTGGCTCAGCAGGGAAATTGAAGACTTCCTATGCCTCAAAAGAGACACTTATAAAGGATGGAAGGCTGGAATTACCACCAAGCAAGAGTACTCAGCACTTGTCCGTACCTGCCAGGAGCAGATCAGGAAAGGCAAGACTGCAACCAAGCTCCATGTGGCTTCACATATCAAGGATAATAAAAAGTCCTTTTTTAGATATGTAGGGAGTCGGAAAAAAAAGCAAGGGTAACACTGGACCCCTGCTGAACCAAATGGGACAGCTCATAACTGACACCCAGGAAAAAGCCAACCTGCTTAATGGGTACTTCGCGTTGGTCTTTCATTAGACCAATGGGACCGCCCAGCCTAGCATGATGCCAGAGGCCAGAGTGAGGGCGTATTTATACCCAGCACTGGTGTAAATCTAGTAAAAGGAACACCATGGGAGGCTGGGCACCTTCAAGTCAGCTGGTCCTGACAGATTACACCCTAGGGTACTCAAGGAGCTGGCAGGTGTCATAGCCCAACAATTGGCAAAAATATTCGAAAACTAGTGGGACTCAGATGAAGCACCTGAAGACTGGAAGAAGGCCAATGTGGTACCCATCTTCAAGAAAGGGTGGAGAGTAGATCCCAGGAATTACAGGCCAATTAGGTTGACCACAGTCCCCGGTAAGATTCTGGAGAAAATTATCACAATGACCCTTCTTGCTAAGCTGGCTAATGACAACATCCTGAGGGACAGCCAGCACAGGTTTGTCATGGGAAGGTGTTGCCTCACCAATCTCATCTCCTTCTATGTCCAGCTGATGCACCACCTGGTCAAGGGAGAAGAAGAGATTGACATCATATATCTGGACTTTAAAAAGAGCCTTTGATCTGGTGTCCCATGACCTCCTCATGGAAAAACTGGCCAACTGTGGCCTCGCTACACCACAGTCCGATGGCTGGGAAATTGGTTCTGAGGTTGGACCCAGGGAGTGGTAGTTGATGGATGTGAATCATTACAGCGCTCTATGATCAGTGGTGTCCCCGAAGGCTGTCCTTGGACCAGTTCTCTTCAACATGTTTATCAATGATGTGGACGTTGGTGTCAAAAGCACACTGGTCAAGTTTGCTGATGACACTGAACTTTGGGGCATAGCGTCCACACCTAAGGACAGGCTAGTGATCCAGGCTGACTTGAATAAACTTAGTAAGTGGGCGGATACAAACCTGATGACGTTCAATACCGATAAATGTAAGGTACTCCACCTCGGGGGAAAAAAACCCACAGCATGCTTATAGGCTCGGCAGTGCTACTCTTGCTAGCACCACTGCTGAAAGAGACTTGGGGGTCATGACTGACCACAAGATGAACATGAGCCACCAATGCAATGTCGCAGATGGTAAAGTAAACAAAACTCTGGCTTGCATCCATAGATGCTTCTCAAGTAAATCTCAGGATGTCATCCTCCCGCTGTACTCAGCCTTAGTGAGCCTGCAGCTGGAGTACAACGTCCAGTTCTGGGCTCCACAATTTAAGAATGATCTCGAGAAGCTTGCGAGAGTCCAAAGGAGAGCCACGAGCATGATCAGAGGGCAGGAGAACAGGCCTTATGAAGAGAGGCTGCGAGCCATGGGACTCTTCAGCCTGGAAAAGCACAGGCTCAGGGGGTACCGGGTAGCTGCTTATAAGTACATCAGGGGTATGCATCGGGATCTGGGAGAACATCTGTTCACCAGAGTGCCCAAGGTAAAAAAAGGATCAATGGTCATAAACTCCTCCAAGACGGTTTTAGGCTGGACATAAGGCAAAACTTCTTTACTGTCCAAGCCCCCAAGACCTTGAATAGACTCTTCCCAGAAGTGGTGCAGGCACCTACTCTGGACTCATTTAAGAAACGTTTGGATGTGCATCTTGCTGGGATCCTTTGACCCTAGCTAACTTCATGCCCTTGGGGCAGGGGACTGGACTTGATGATCTTTAGGGTCCCTTCCAGCCCTAATGTCTAGGAAATCTGAATATTTTTAGAAGTGTATGAAGAGTAACTCAGTCATTACTGATTTGAGGAATCAGCAGGAAAGTTTCTCTAAGGGCAAGACTGTGGCTTGCATTTCCAGCACCAGGCAGTTAATTTCTATGGGTCGGTAAAATAAACAACGTAAGTAATTCTGCCCAATAGTACTGGTACAACATGGAAAAATTATTTTAGCAAAGAGCCACCAGAATGGACTTTATGTCTTGAGCTGCAGTGTCTAAAGGTATGCATACAGAGCTGGCAGGACCAGAAGGGGTTGACAGAGAACAACCCACCCATAAAAGCCTTTGTAGCAGGTACTGCCAGAAGAAAAACTTTTGTCAAGTATTTCAAGAGCAGATCATAAAATACAAAGTCTGCCACTCAAACCAGGGCACAATATATCACACTGCTCCATTTAAGAGGGTAGAAAGTAATCAAACTTATTTTTTTTTTTAGTAAAGAGACTGATATCAAATGTGACTTTACTTTTTGAATAGATTGCAGCAACCCTGTACAGGTAGAACTACACTAGAACTTTCCTGTTATTCACCAGCTCACGGTCTTGTCTCCGACTCATTAAATTCATTCCTGCTGTATCTTAAATAAGTGATTGCTTATATAAATCAGAGTGGAGCCACAGCATAAAGACCTTCACGTGTAGTCTTAGTCATATATTACAATTTTCCGCACGTCCTGTCATTTTGAATGACACCATTTTGAGGAGTACTGGGTATAGGAAAACAGAGAAAACTCCGATTTTTACATCCAAGGTCATCTGCCAGACAACTCCATATTTCTGTCCATACTGATTGACCAGTTGCTAGCAAAAGGAATCAGGATGTCAGGCACTCTTGATGCAAGCTGACAAAGGGTATTGTCTATGCTACAATCCAGAAGTGCTTCTGCACCTCCTGCAAACATGTCAAAGCTGCTTTAGACCAGTTTAGCCCAGGTAACAATAACAATGTGGCTGCAATGGCACGGGCTGCAGCTACTGAGCAGTTACCAAGGATACTGGATGGGTTTGTGCAGATTGAGCTGAAACCAGTGTGTTGTGACCAGCATGCTGCACATATCCAAGCTACCTAGATTAAAGCTTGTTCTGATACATCTATGCAGGCTGCAAGCATACATCTAGACTGCGGTGGAGGCATCTTTACATATATTTCAGAGGAGTTATGACTACCTACATCAGCTAAGGATCTGAGTTCTATTTCTGGCTCTGGTTGGAAGAAGGTCTAATGGCTAGAGCTGGGATCCCATATTTTTCATAGAGTCACCCACTTACGGTGTGACCCTGAGTAACTGAGGGGTGGAGAGATGGCGAGTTATCCAAGCGTAAACTATGTACAGTGTTTACCTCCATCTTGGAAAGGCATTGTAAGGACAAAGTACGTGATTTAAAGCCCTCGGAGACGTTCAGGGTGCCTGTACACGAGCACAGAGGCTGCTCTGATGCACTGCAATTACAGCAAGTTGGAGCAGACTCAGTTAACTGAGTCTGCCAGAGCACAGCAATTACTGCACACCACCACCCTCCCACGTCTTGAGCATCAGCATCCCTAGGGGCACGTGAAATAGAGCTCATTGAACGAACTTGAATTCAAGTGCCCCCACCACCACTTTGAAGCACGGGGATGCTGATACATAATACGATGTAGACACTTTAATGAGAGAGGCTCTGAGAGCCTCTCTAATTAAAGCACCCCCCCACCCCCAAGCACATGTAAAAGCGCCCTCAGATACAAGACAACACAAATGCAAATTATCACACAAACTATCCTGTTAAAAAAAATAAAGGCAAGGTTATATGCCCCATACCAATATATGGTTAGAGCTCAACAACTTCCAAAAATTGACAAACGCAGGTACAAACTTTTTTTTTTTTTTAAACTGTTGAATAATACAAACGTGGTAAATCCAGCAGTTTTGAGCAAACAAATTCAATACTGAAAAAAACAACTGTATATGTTTGTTCCAAAAGAGAAAATAAAAAGGACAATTACTACAGCAATTGTTCCCTCCTGGAGCAGAATTCTTTTCTACAGACGTTAAACTCAAATCTGCATATTTTAATGCATTGCCTATGAAAAGATGTCAGGATGAAATGAATTGGGCAAAGATGATTTATAGTGATTGAAAGAAAGGGAAACAGAACAGAAGTGCAAACTACAACAATTTCACTACTAAAAGGAAACTATTGCCTCACCTCAGGAAGATGCAACAAATTTTATCCTATTTATTTCTGAAGCTCCTGGTATTCTCTCAGGAGAGAAGCTTAGGATATACTTAAAAATATTTATTTTAGGAAAGACTTACCAGGACAAGCATTAAAACAAACCCACAGCAAATAAAGGACTTTGTGCATTAAAACCCATAATTAGCATGCATGTTTGTGTGGGCTTTGATACTGGCATTCAATTTTCTTTCTGTTAGCAAGGGATTTAAGTGGGAGATGAAGCTAGGCTGGTGATTTGCTTCTTCATAAAAGCAATCTCTAGTGGCCCTTAGCCAAAAATCTGAATGCAAATCTCAGACTCTTAGAAACTTACTTTAGTAGCCAGTCAATGATCTTCTTCTTGGTTCTGAGCTGTGGCAGAGTATATTTCTCTTCTCCATCCTTAAAATACTTCAGTGTAGGAAACCCTGAGATGTGAAATCTTTCTGCCAGTGCCTTGTTGGCGGTAGCATCTACTGCTGCAAGGACACCTGGACTCTAAAATACAAAGAGACTAACTGTAAGTCATGATGATAGACACAGCTTTTGCCAGGAGACAGTACACATTCAGACACAGTGACTCTCAGCCCTCTATGTGCAAACTAGGCCTATACAGCAAAGCACAGTTGGTCCTATGGACTGGCATAAAGGGATGAATATTTTACCAAGTCATCAAGTTAAAATATTGAAGACCCTCCAGTTCATTAAAGGATGAATCCCAACACTCAGCTCTGGCAGTCTGGCTGGACATTAGCCATATATGTTGGGGAAGGAGACAACATTGGAAGAAATACCGTTCCAGGACAAGCAGGTATGTGACTAACAACACTGGGTCAAACCAAGGGCTTGGAGAGACCATCCAGGGCACTCCACCATGTGTCTCAGCCCTAGGAGGAGGACTAGAGGCTTCTACATCAGCCAGTCCCCTGGCCTGTCTTGACCTGTCCATGCAATGCCATTGATGGACCCCTACAGAGGAAGGGCATCCATTTCATAGCATCACATCTGCAAGGTCCAGATTCCAACCGCTTGGACACATCTGGTTTCAACGACTACCAATGGTCAGGATTTTTCCCTAAGTGTGAAATGTGAGAGATTTAACCACTCTGTAGAGGCACTGTGGCAGAGAGGCAAACGCATCTCACTATGGCACCAAAGCCATGAGTTTAAACCCATTTTGGACTTAGCTGACGGTAGCTCCGAACATGGTAACCCAGCTGTCAATGGGTCATTCATGCAGGGAAGTCAACAGTGGATACTGATTCAATCGGCACTGTTGTAAAAAACAGCAATGACTGTTCTCCCCTTAAACATGCTGACTTTCATGAGGAACAACTGTGTTGAAGTTGGTGTGACATTAGTCTAACATCAACATACACAGAAGGAAGAACAAGCCCGTTAGACTTTTAAATCTACTTCATAAATAAAAGCCCATGTTTGTTTAACATCTGCATTTCACATGAGGCCTGTAATTAATAGGAAAGAAAAACTTTTCCACTTTGTATTTGGGTTTGATCACATTATGTATAAGTAAGGCCCTACAGCGGAATACATCAACACTACGATTTTGTTTTCATTTAAGACAGAATGTTCTTTCTAAGACTTTGGCAGGGCTCACGCATTGCCGATGAGACTGTGCTTTGCAAACGCATCTCGGAGGGCCTAGTGGGAGGATGAGAACAGCTAAAACTGGTGTAGGGGGGAAAGGAAAGTAATTCTTATTACTTCAGTCATTTATTAATCATTATTTGAAAAGTGAGGGGAAGGACAAAAAAATTAGCTTACATCATTGGCTACATGGAGGGACTCTGCAGCCTTCTCGTATTCTGGCTTCATCTTCTTACAGTGCCCACACCCTGCCAGAAAAAAGAAAAAAATTAAACGATCCATCATACAATGGTGTTGTCCATTATGCTCCCTGAGCAGGGCCGCACCGCGATTATGTAAAGACCCATCCAGCCATTACTGAGATCCAGGACCAAGGGTAAACAGCCAATATATTTCAGAACATATTGTACTTCATTTACTTGTACCAATGCTAGTAAGTTTTAGGATCATTTCCATAAAAGTAATGACAGTTTAATACGCAGTGAAAGAACGCAATATGTAGCATCTTGTTCTTTTCCAAAATCCTACAAAGACTATATAGGTAGCATCTTTCAAGACACTGCTTTACAGTACACTCTTTGTCAAGTCACTTAGCCTGACTTAATTCAAATCCAAAATCCTTAGCTACACAAAGAAAACATACATCCAGCTTGGCTTATGCTAACAGCATTCTTTAGTCATTTAAACTTCAATTTGACTGTACTGATATAAGTCCCACTTTATACTGGTGCAGCCTGTTTATAATGGGGATTTGCACCGACATAAAGCATACCAATGCATATGCTTTTACATTGGCAAGGCCTGTAAAATGGAGGTGTTAGTGTGCCACCTGTGCGAAGATCTTCACGACTTATGTCTAAAAAACATCATTTAGGCATAAAATTACATTACGGTAATGAGATAAAATGGCCACCTTATGCACGGATGATAAAACTAACTTTCTAAAGCTGCTTTCTTCCTCTACAAGCTCTCCCAAAGCTTCCAGGCAGACTAAGATCTTCAAAACTGAAGTAGGTAGGTACCCTGCCAGGACATAAGACCTAGGTCTGAGCAGCTACGGTGCAAGTTGTTGATGGGACTCACTTCCCCTCATGCAACTGTCTCCATTCCTCCCAAGACATGCCAACACAGATGAGGTTCCCTCTGGCCTAAAAAAAGGAGAACAGGAGACGCCCAGCCATCAGTTATGGATGAAGAGCTTGAAAGAGTAGGAAGTAACTTCTTTAAATGGCCATCTATACTAAAGGCCCTGTCAGACGCTGCTAAATGAACTGTGCTGTTAACAGGACACATTGCATCTAGCTATTGATTTCTGGAAAAGTCCCGACAGGTACTTTCCTGCTGGACCAAGTCAGTCCTGTTTTCTTCCTCCTGGACTTGTTGTGGGAATATGTAAAGGCCCAGGCTTTGAAAAGCATGAAAGCCAAGGCAGATGTCCACTTCCGCTCCACTACAGCAGTTTCTAAGTTCGGTAATGAGCGGGGTTAGGGTGCTGTCAACAGGGACACAGAGCCTAAGCAGAACAAAAGGTACCACTCAGTCTCACCACAGGGAAGAACGGAGTCAGAGCAGCCATGGACCAAGCTTGGGCTTGGTTTTAAAACCCACAGTTGGATAACCCTGGTTTGACCTCTCTCTAGAGGTGACGAGCCCTGTTTCCACCCGCTCCTCTTGCAGCCCAGCAAGAGGAGGGTCTAGTACGATGCATTATGGTGCAACTTGTACATAACAAGCAGGGATTTATGGTGTACAACTCCAGCTGCTACAGCTGACACCCTCTGGGTGCAATCCTGGCTGCAGCTGGAATGCAGTACAGGCATAACCAAGCTGGTTTTGAACAAATTGACCTTAGGTGCCAGTTGCGATTTACAGGCTGCAGTAAGGAGCTCAGAGCAAGCTGCAAAATCTTCCTGAAAAGAATAACTGAGTTGCAGCAGCTGGACAGCTACCGGTTCCTGAATTAGACAGTTTGATAACTAGCTTGGATGAGTCTACGTTGCACTGCAGACAGAGCCACAACTGAAGTCCACGCTGTAAAAATGCCCCATGGTATCAATTACACAACACTGGCTGCAGTGACTTACATCCTCCGTGTGAAAAAATACAAGTGCATTTTTAAAGCCATAAATATGGACGAACCAGGCGGTTTTGAGAATGCAGGGAAAACTATAAAGGAGAGATTTTGCAGTCGGAGAACGTGAAAGCACAGAACTTGGAGCCTGACATGACAGGTAAGAGGTGAAATCCTATTCAGAGGCTAGAAAAGCCTGAGAAAGAGTTACTGTCTCAGCACTGCTTGTCCTGTTTTTAAGAGTATGCAAAAAGGCAGCAAAATGATTTATTTGCCACCCACAGAAATCTTGCAGTCGCATGGCTTTCTGGAAGGGACTGACAGTTCCCACTGACATCTGCTTGACTTGATTTATTTCCCCTTTTTGGAGCTGAGAACTTTATTTACAGGTGGCAATTCCACAGAATGAATAAAGAGCACTTCGCACCACGGCTGAGCCCACTTGGGAACTGAACTCAGCAGCCTGAAGTACCCCAACCCCTCCCAGGTCACGTACAGAGCAGTACAGTATTCCTTCACCACGGCCTGGAGGCTACATCTGAATTAATCTCAGGTGGCAAAAATCTTAAAAGCCATCACTTAAAAGTCCCTTCCAGCCCCTAATATCTATGAAACTTCCCCAAAACAGACGAGTTACTCTGCCCAGCTTTATGGGGACTTTTCCATTCCCTTTCACTGCTTGGTACTGCTGCCTCCCTTCAGTTGAGATTAAGTTAAGAAGCTGTCAACCCTGCAGATCAAATCTCCTGGGGTCACTTACCCTACTTTTCCCTATTCTTGTCAGAAACATCATGACATTTGTACGGGCAATGAGAAAGCCATTTAAATGAATTCCAACCTCACGGTCTTTTCTTTGACTGCCATATTATGCTGCTCAGCACAGCTTATATCCCCCCGTACCAAGCTCCTCTAGTTTTAGACGTTTCTTAGGTGTAAAACAAATGGGAAAAATAGCAACAATTCTACAAGATGCCCTTAACCCAGATGCCACAATGTGCTGTGTAAGGTCTGCTGGGATTACAGAAGAAAGCCCTTAGGTTTTGCAGCAAACACCTCTGATGTTCATTCTTAGAAGATGCATTTCTGTGTTAAGTGTATATTGACACAGGGATCCATTACGAGCAAAAATACTAAGCAAGAGAATTGACCTCTCCAGTCCCAGAAGAGAAAGGTCAAGAAAAACCCTAAGGATGCTCTGCTGCCTGCCTGCCGTATGGACTGACGTCAGCTCCTTCACTCTAGATGGGACCAGGATCTTGGGAGATACCGGGGAATAAGGACTCCTGGAGTTTTGTTCTCTTACTGCAGGAGGAGGAAACCCTCCCACTGAAATAACAATGAGAATTAATCTTACCCTGCAATGGGAAAACCAGACCTGAAATATAATCCTTCGTACCTCACGGAGGTCATCTATGTAGGTGGCTTTGCCTGGCTATAAAATGGGCATCCTACCTCATTCACTGAGTCTAAATCCTTCAAGATGCACAAAAGGCAGAATGCACATATTAACGTCACAGAGAAAAGAGGGAGAGATCTATACTCTTAAAAATCAAAATCCTGAAGTGTGAAACGTGGTGTAAAACAAGCCCTTGCTAATTGTTTTAAAATAGCTGCATGAATGAAGCGAGAGCACCCATTTCCCATTTTATTTATAATTGATGTTCTTGTTTGGTCCAAGTAACCATGAGAATACATAAATTCTCCCTTTGATGCAGTGGCTGTTAATCAGGAGTCACAAATTTCAATTACATGCCCATGACTGGGGCCATTCAAAGTTTTCTGACTCATTTCAGAGCAGGAAAAGCAAGGGGATCTGGGCATTAGTCACTCGACACAGCAGACTAAAGCCCTGCAAGTCAGGCAGGAGTAACTCAGCATGTACAACTATGTACAGTTGAGAGAATTATCTACTATAAAAACAAAACAAAAAACAGTGGGACGACAGTAGTTTGGGAGGCCAACAGCACACTGAAAAGGAAAGGTTAAAAAAGACCCTGTTATCAGTCAGCAATTGAGTATTTCCGTATGACTGTCTCTCTGGTCCAGTCCAGGTCACCACAATTTTCACAAGGAAACAAAGAAAATGGACAAGGAGCACAGCAGATAAAGGAGGGAGCACTCATCGCAACGAGCATCTGACATGCTGCAGCTTTATCACTAGCTGCAATTGAGGGCCACCTTTATAGGGGCCTAATCACCAATGGTTTCACCTGTGACTGCACGCAGGACGGCCACTCCCCCAAGTGGGACAAAAGCACTTGGGTCTCAGGGGTCTGGTCTGTAGCTGGTAGAAATCCATGCTTCTCTCAAAGTCAATAGAGCCATGCCAGTTTACTCCAGTTGAGGATTTAGTCCCAGGAAGCAAAAGAGCATATTATTTCTGATTCATCACTGCATCATTCCAGTTTTTGTACTAATAGAAATCCAGAGACCAAGAAAGTTACACCCACATGCAGCTGGTGTTGCAGGGTGGTGACTCAGGTCCATAGTCAGTCCCATTAAAATAAGAACATAAGAGCACATAGGAATAAGAAATTCAAGAGCACAAAGCAGCCCACTGATTTCAGCGCATCCCATCCTACACAACTGTTCAGATCGTTACAACTGTTCTTGTTTTCAAAGAAGGAGCAGGTGAAAATAGGGGAGCACAGAATGCTTCAGCCACCACCATTCCTGAATGAAGACTTCAGCCTAAAAATCTCATGCAAGGAAATGATTTGTTCTGCCACCTGACTGGAGCGGACTTGTAATGCAAAATCCAAGTCACATATCAGCTGCAGGTTATCTGGTAGAACAATGTTGCTTTTAAAATAGAAAATTAATTGCAAACACACTATAGAGACAGAAACATTCATATTCTACAACTGCTACAGTTATCAAACGTATCTCCTGAGGCTCCAGTTTAAGAAGTGGACTAAAATGTTTTCCAACAGAAAAGACCGGAGGCACCTGCATTTTAGCCTTCAGCAACTGACTGCAAAGACCTAAGCCACAGAATGGAATCCATTAAGTTTTATAGTACTTTAGTCACCTCCCATGTCATTAACCACTGAAGAAAAACAGGCAATCCTGAACTCAGACCTTCAGAAGGTAGAAACAGATGCACTTCCAAGGAGAGTGCTCTGGCTCTGGTACTGATGGCTTTTCTTGTGCTCCCAAGTATTTGTGCTTGGTATT